ATGTTAAACAGCAGTGGTCCCAGTACGCACCCCGGAGGGACCCCAGTTGTCACCGGTCTCCATATGGACATCGAGCCATTGACCACTGCCCTCTGTATGTGACCATCCAGCCAAGTCCTTATCCACCGAACAGTCCACCCATCACTCCTCCATAGAAAGCCACTGGCTTGGTGCCCTTGGTGAAGCTGTGCTGGCTGTCTGGAATCACCTCCCTGTCCTCCATGTGCTTGAGCACAGCTTCTAGGAGGATCTGCTCCATGATCTTCCCAGGCACAGAGGTGAGGCTGACAGGTCGGTAGTTCCCAGGGTCCTCCTTTCTTCCCTTTTTAAAAATGGGCACAACATTCCCCTTCTTCCAGTCAGCAGGGACTTCACCTGACTGCCATGACTTTTCAAATAGCATGGAGAGTGGCTTGGCAACTACATCAGCCAATTCCCTCAGGACTCTGGGATGCATCTCATCAGGTCCCGTAGACTTGTGTACATTCAGGTTCCTCAGGTGGTCTCGAACCTGATCTTCCCTTACAGTGGGAGGGGCTTTACCCCCCTGGTCCCCATCTTGTGGTCCATCGACTCGGGAGGGGTGAGGGGAGAGGTTGCCGGTGAAGACTGAGGCAAAGAAGTTGTTGAGTACCTCAGCCTTCTCCTTGTCTGTTGATACTAGGTTGCCATTCTTGTTCATCGGGGCGGGGTACGCTTTCTTTAACCTTCCTTTTCTGGTTGACATACCTGTAGAAGTCCTTCTTGTTATTGTTTATATCCCTTGCCAAATTCAGCTCCAGCTGTGCCTTGGCCTTCCTGACCCCCTCCCTACACAACCGGGCAGCTTCCCTGTACTCTTCCCAGGACACCTGTCCCTGCTTCCACTGCCTGGGCACTTCCCTCTTACTCTGCAGTTTGACCAGCAGGTCTCAACTCAGCCATGCTGGTCTCTTCCCTTCCTTGCCTGATTTCTTAGTGCTCATCTATGTTAGGCCTGCAGATACGAATTTATTGTTTAATCTGGTTTTATTCTAAAGAATATATACAATTGTCTACTCAATTGTATTATAGCAAGTGCTCTAAATGCTGTATTTTTAAAAGGAGTGTATCAACTGTTGAATCTGCAAACTGCAACGTATAATTCATTGGAATGTGTTTCAGTGAGCTCCAGATCAGAGTAATTTCCAGGGATCTTTTCGATACTGCTTCCTGATAAGTTTTTTTGGGGTCGGTGACGACATGCAAACATACTTTTTTGGAGTTGTAATTGGGAAGAGAAAGAATGCTGAATGCATGTGGTTATAGTTGCTGAAAGTGTTTATATAAAAGTGTAAGATTATTTTTTGTATGCTCTTGGTATAGCTGAAGCATTGCTCTTGGGTCTATACTGTACTAATTGTTTTCTGTTAGAGCAAAGTTGAGGACATGTCTCATAAAAATGAATTAAGGTGAATCAAGAGTGAACAGTATCTTTGACTGTTTGCTTCTGTAGGACTCTCCTAATGTTTACATTTTACTGTAAAACATTCTGAACAGGCAACCCTTGATTCTGTGCTCAGTTATTCTATTTTTGTTATCTCTACTTGCCTCTTTTTAGGTAACTTTGTAAGTTTGTTAGTACAAGACTCTTTTTCTGTATTGCATTCAGAGCAGTGGGGCCTCATCCTGGTTGCATCCTCTGTGCAGTGTAGTACGCAAATGTTAAAGAACACAGAAGATAAAAATGATAGAGCTTCTTGGCAGTACAAGGAAAGCACTGTGCTCACACCTAACTGAAATTTTGTCCAGCTGCCAGTTGATGTTTTCTCTCGTAATGTTTTTAGTCTCTGTAAGTCTTCTGCAGTACTCTGACCAGCTCTGTTCCCACCTGCCCCCTGCTCAATAATTTAGATTCCCATCTCTGTATGTCTTTCTCCTGCTGCTCTATCTCTCTGGATCCCTGCTTCTCCCTGTGCATCAAAATTAATATTGCTTATTTCATCTTTCACTTGTTACCGCCAAGAAAAAAGAGAAGGGGTGGAGGTTAGGAAGGACCAGAGTAAGGGTCTTTTCAAGTTCTAGTAAAGCAGCTATGGCTCCATTCCTGTTCCCTAGACCGGCCCTCTGACTTCCAGTGAGGCTTTCCTACTCCTGACTCTTGCACCAAGTACTCCCAAAGCCTGCCTTTTTGCATTAGTTGCTGTATAAGCAGAGGCACAGCATTACTGAGAGAGGATGTAAATGTTCTTTTTAATATTTGGAGATTACAGGGGTGAGGAAATCAGTCGCCTTTTCCTCCCTCTGACGGGGGTCCCACACTAGGTCACCTAACCAGATCTCTCCAGGAAGAAAAAGTACAACCTGGCTTGTATTGATACAGATAACTTGATTTCATAAGAGTAGGGAAGATAATAGAAGGGAGGATGCAATGGCTCTTTCCCAGCAAATCAGTACCTGTCACATCCCCAGACCATACCTTATGTTAGCTTTTATTCTTGCTTGCTTCCCATAGCCATTAGTTCAAAATAGCTGCTAGTCTGTGGAAGCAAAGACTAAGTGGAATTTTCTGTGATTTGTGTTTCAGTCCTAGCATACATTTGTGGCTTGCTCCCAGCTGGAGATTTAGCAATCTGTTTCATTTCCGGGCTCAGGTTTATAGGTATGATGAGACATGTTTCTGATAATTCCACGCTTTCACAAAAAAGTTTGTTGATGTGGATGGCTTGGAAATGGATACATGACACTTTCAGTTAGAGAGAGGATGGTTTGAAACCAAATAAAAAGACACCTTTTAACTTTTATCCTAGATTAGTAGGGAAACTTACCAGGCTTTTTTCATTTAGATCATATTTAAAAAAATTTATTGCTATAATAATCTAGTAATTGGTATACTACTAACAATTGGTATACTAAGGTAGTGGCCTTCTGTGACGGAGTAACTGCATCAGTGGACAAGGGAAGAACTACTGATTTCATCTACCTGGACTTCTGTAAGGCCTTTAACACAGTCCCACACAACATCCTTGTCTCTAAATCAGAGATGGGTTTGATGGGTGGACTGTGAGAAGGATAAGGAGTTGGCTGGCTGGCCATGTCCAGAGAGTTGCAGTCAATGGCTCAGTGTCCAAATGGAAACCAGTAATGAGTGGTGTCCCTCAAGGGTCCATACTTTGATCAGTACTGCTTTAATATCTTCATCAGTGACATAGGCAGTGGCATTGAGTACACCCTCGGCAAGTTTGCAGCGGACACCAAGTTGAGTGGTGCAGTGGATTTGTTTGAGGGAAGGGATGCCATCCGGAGGGACCTTGACAGGCATGAGGAGTGGGCCGACTCGTGAAGTTCAGAAAGGCCAAGGGCAAGGTCCTGCACCCGGGCTGGGGCAATCCCCCATATCAGTACAGAATGGGGGATGAATGGATTGAGAGCAGCCCTGCGAAGAAGGACTTGGGAATATTGGTAGATGAAAAATTAGGTACGAGCCGGCAATGTGTGCTTGCAGCCCAGAAATGCAGTCGTATTCTGGGCTGCATCAAAAGAAGCGTGGCCAGCAGGTTGAGGGAGGTGCTTCTCCCCCTCTGCTCAGCTCTGGTCAGACCCCACACAGAACACTGCGTCCCGCTCTGGGGTCCCCAGTACAAGACAGACATGGACCTCTTGGAGCAGGTCCAGAGGAGGCCATGGAAATGGTCAGAGGGCTGGAGCACCGCTCCTGTGAAGAAAGGCTGAGAGCATTGCGTTTGTTCAGCGTGCAGAAGGGAAGACTCTGGGGAGACCTTATAGCAGCCTTTTGATACATAAAGGGGGATCATAAGAAAGATGGAGAGAGACTTTACCAGGGCCTGCAGTGACAGGACAAGGGGCAGTTGTTTTAAGCTGAAAGGGGATTGGTTTAGATTGGGTGTGAGGAAGAAATTCTTTACTATGAGGGTGGTGAGACACTAGAACAGAGAAGCTGTGGATGCCCCATCCCTCGAAGTGTTGGACAGGGCTTTGAGCAACCTGACCTACTGGAAGATGGGCCTGCCCATGGCAGGGGGGTTGGAACAAGATGGTCTTTGAAGGTCCATTCCAACACAAGCCATTCTATGATTCTGTATTCCTGGTGCAACCCTAATTAATGCTTTTGCTGTCTTCTACAGTGTCCATTTACTCCATTATTTCTAGTGTAGATGCAGATAATAACAAATTTGAGCAGCAAACTTCTTAGCATAAATTAAATAACTAGAATAACTTGTTTTCCCAGTGCTCTAAGACCAAGTAGCTACTACGTAATCTTGTGTGTACTGCAAAATTGCAAGTTGACATTGAAGGTTTAGATATGTTAATTCTAAGTCATAAACCCCTCATCTGATTGCTGTGATTAATCTCTGATTTAAGTTGAAGATAAAACAATGCTTAAATGAAAAATCTGCCTCTGCAAATGAATTATTTTTTCCCTGAAGAATGTGTCTTGTTAAGATAGTGTGTTTCTTTTATGAAGTAGGAGAGGTAAGTCTAACTGTTAAACTTTTTTTCAGATATTTTTGTTGAAAGTAGATAAAATGGCGACATTAATTCGCACTTTAGCAGATCATAGTGATGATGTCAACTGCTGTGCCTTCTCATCATCGTGCTTGGCTACTTGTTCCTTGGACAAAACAATTCGTGTTTATTCTTTAAACAACTTTGCTCAGCTTCCGTACTCACCTTTAAGAGGTCATACATATGCTGTCCACTGCTGCTGCTTCTCTCCATCAGGACACCTTTTAGCTTCATGTTCAACAGATGGCACTACCATGGTTTGGGACACTCGCGATGGTCGGATGCTGGCAGTGCTAGAGCAGCCCAGTGGCAGTCCTGTTAGAGTCTGCCGATTTTCTCCTGAGTCCACATATCTAGTGTCAGGGGCAGCGGATGGGAGTGTAGTTCTTTGGAACATGCAGTCATTGAAACTGTACAGGTGAGTGCCAAATATTTTTTGACAGCCTTGTTTACGGTGACAAGAATATAATTTAAGTACTGTGCTGTATTGTGTACAACGCTTGCAGACTTACACCACTGATTGACATCACAAAGAAACAGGAATAGGATTTAGAAGACCAAAAGATTATCAATAGGAGAGGGAGAAGTGCTGAGTCTTTTCTTTTTTTTTTTTTAAGTTAAACAATGCAAATTCAAGGAGCTTTAATTTTTACTAAATTATCTTTCATCTAAATCCTGATTTTATTTTTTTTTTTAAGTTCATGGAAGCATTTTTGTTGATTTAACATGAAATCATAATGCATTGCATACTGCATGCATCTGGTTTCTAAACAGTGGGCCAACAAACTATGATACGTAATATACAGTTAGTGGAGCCTGACTGTGCTCTGTGCCTTCTATTGCATTATACATAGTGATTTTTAACTAATCATTTAATTACAAGGCTACTTGGAGTCCAGGAAGGTCTTAGAAGCTTGATAGTAATCCAGCAATCAAAGAGTTTGGAGACTTGGTATATCCTGAAACCATACAGTTTAACAGTGACAGCAAGGAGTATTGGAACTGAGTGAGTTAAGTATGACAGTCAACATTTCACGTGGGTTTCCAGGATACATTTGAAACAAAGCAGATGAGCATTTTTAGTGATGCTGCACAGTTAAAGGCATGAACCTTAGGGTGATCTTCAAAGTCCTCTTCTACATCTCTATTTCAGTAAAGTCTTCAGGCCAGTTGTAATCTGTACTTAGGCAAGACATTATTTAGGTTTTAGAGCAGCAATTACACAATATGTCTCTAAAGTTAGGGAAGAAATTAAGAGCTTGGGAGAACTGATGAGATGTTTCACTCAGGATGAGGGAGCAGCCATTTCTGAAAGCCAGACTTGTTTGGTTTTGGTAATCCCCTGTCAAGCGTGTTACTGCTTTTGTGGCCTCTCTATCTTTGCCTTCCACAGCAGTGATTTAGATGGGAACTGTAAAATTTTTCAAAATGATTGATTACAGTTATCTGAAATCGTGTAAATCTGGAAACCTGTCCATAAACAGAACTGTAATAGATTTTTGCCACCTTGTTGTTTGTAATGCATACAGAAACACTGAAATGGTGGTTTTGTTTTCAGAGAATAGAAAGCTATTGATTATGTATTGTTTCTTAGTTTTGTCTTTAAGAAAAATTGGGAATTTCAATCTTTAGTATTCTGAAGTCTAAGGGTTTATCTATTTTGAGGTATTACTAGTGAAGAGGTTCTTTTTTGGTTCTTTTTATTCAGAATACTTGTTACTGACAGGGTAAAACTCAGGAATATGAAAAAGTAATTTCTTACAAGTATATGCTATTAATATATGCAGTGATGCATGTTTTAGACCTACATCCTTCATTGCCTCCTAGTTGAATGGTGGATGTATAATAACTATGTAGAACATAGTTATACATAGAATATACACAGAACATACATAGAACAACTACGTATTGTTGTTTTAAGCAGAAATTATTCTACTTTGGTGTTTCCATTGTAAAGAAACAAGAAAAAACTTGAACGTTCCAATCCTGTCTGCTTCACTTCACTTTTAAAAGTTCATTTCAAAGTGTGAACATGACAACAGTAGTCAGCTTAACTTTAATTGTATACATTTTGGGATGTGTGTGTATATATATTTTCAGCTGATGAATTTTTTTTATTGTCATTTGTAATCGCATCTGTCTTGTTTCCTTAAAGCTGAGATCAGTATTACTTAGAAATTATCAAGGTACTAAAAAATTATGTCAGAGGGTTTCAGTTAACCATCTGATGTCAGTCTGTGGTCCCCTGTTTCTTTTGCAACAGTTGATTGTGTTGATGCTAAAAAAGGGAACAGTTTTTACCACACTGTTATGTCACTTGACTAAATATATGGATTGTAATTACAACAAAGGTATCCAGCTACTCCTTATCAGCTCAACTGTTGTAATTGACTGTTCAAATTGTGAAGTAAGATGGCTATTTAAATCGTCTTTATGATGGATGTGAACAACATAAAAGCAAGTTAATATGTTTATTTCTTGAAGTGTTCTCTGTTTCCTGTTCAGTAGTTATGATACTGATATCTGGCCTTGAAAGTCTTAAATGCATACTCTGAATATATATAGTACTATTTATTTTACTGTTACATTTTCAGAGCAGAATCTGCAGCTTTTCCTGTGAAAGAAGGAAAGTGTTAAAAGCTGCACTAAGGAAAAAGAATTGTACATACAAAAATGGGAAGCACTGTAGTGTATTTGATAGTATTCTTAATGACAGAATTAAGGGAGTCAGTGCTTTTTTGAAGGTCCTGGGTCTGATTAGAGAGACTCTCAGGAAAGAGACTTGTCTTCTGTGGCATTAAGTTTGACCCCTCTGGCACTAAGTAAAATGTCTATCAGCAGAAGAGAATGAGCAGCTGTTCTACAAAATACAGAGTAAATAAGACTGACGTTTCTTGATGTATGACTGTTGCTTATGGCTGTGATTTTTTTTTTTTTCCCTCCCTGCACTTAAAGATTGAACTATGCATGCTGGGCTGGATCTAGTATCCATTAAAAGGAGTGAGACACTTTCAATTGACTTTAGGTTACTATCAGATAATCTAAAGGGTGTTAGGTTGACCCCACTTCCTTCCTAAGGATTGACCACACACAAACATATCTGCTAGGAATTTTCTTTTAAGTTCAGCTTTACAAAGTGCTTTGGCTGACTTAGTTAAAATGTAGAAATAATTTTTTTTCACATTGCTTTTTCTTGCATATGAATAGTCCAAAATTAACCCTATAGCATAAATCACAAAGTATTCTACTCAGCTGCAGCTTATCATATGGGTTAGTAGGTGTTCTGTTTTGTCTTTAAAAACAGAACAGAGAAATTGTGAGAGTCTTTTTTTTTTCCCTGTTTGTGTACATGTAAATCTGTGTTACGATAGTTGTGTATTTATCTCTGACTTTTAAAATTTATCCTGCCATAGAATTTTAACAGTGCATTGTACCTTTCAAATGGTAAGTCCATGCAGATTGTCTTTAGTTTGAAAATTATTTTATCACTCAGTTAAAATTATTGCTGTGGGGTGCCATCTCACATTTTTCCTCCTGCAGTCAAAGAGCAGGTCCTGGTTCCTGCAGCTGTGCTTATTTTGCATCTCTTTCAATGGCTGGAGTTTCTCTCCCTTCTGTTACTAAGTTCCAAAGTGCAAAACTTAGAACAGTTTGTCTTGCTGTATCAGATTGCATTTTAGAGATCGCTTCTTCAGAACGTTACTTACTCTAAATTCGAATCCCATGTACTCTTGCTTTTCAGATCTGGGAATGTTAAAGATGGTTCTTTGGTGGCCTGTGCATTTTCTCCTAATGGAAATTTCTTTGTCACTGGATCATCGTGTGGTGATTTAACCATTTGGGATGATAAAATGAGATGCCTGTATAATGAAAAAGCACATGATCTTGGCGTTACCTGCTGTGATATTTCTTCACAGCCAGTTTCTGGTTAGTGACTTGACTCATCAGGGGAGGAACGTGGAAAAAAAGAGTTATTTTATTTTTCTCTAGCTCTTGTTTTCGTATTCTTTTTGTCATCAGTGCTCAAGATACAAATGACATTGGGAAGAGCTGATGTTTTAGAACATTCTGAATATTCTTAAGTAAAAGTTGTGGTCAGGTTGATGACAAGGAATGGACTAGGTCAACAAACAAGGTGATTAACATGCTTAGGATAGCTTTCAGTAGCTAATTATCGTGTTAGGGTTTTGGAAATGTTTGGGCAGTGTCTGTAAGTGAAGCCTATCTCCAGGGCTAACAAGGGTGTTAGAAGATGCAGTGCTTGATTACCATTCCCACTTTCATACTTTGGTTCCCCAAGGAGCAGCATGGGATTAAAGCAATGCAAAGAACTGTAAACCTAATAAGCTGAATGCTTGAGCTGTGGGATGTGAATAGACAGACTGTCTTCCTGTACCTGACACTCCAGTTGGAGGAATTTGAGGGAGCAATGAGCCCAGAATCTCACGTGTCCCACTAAGATGTGGTACTGTTGAAATGCCTTACAGCTGTTTTAGCTGACCTCAGTGTGTAACTTGCATTTCAGTTTTGTCATTATGTGCTTCTTCACAGTTGTGATGGGCAAGAACTTAATTTTTTCTTTTGAGAATGTAATCTGATATTCTTGTATATATTTGGGTATTGTAAAAGCATGCATAAAGCATGCATTGTGTAGGCCTTTCTCAGGACTGCATTGCATATTATGTTCAGTTTTCGCTCATTTCACATTTGTAAGGCTTTCTGTGGAACTAAAATAATTAGAACCTAGATTTTCTATATGCAAAATCATGTATACTGAAAATTGCATATTTAAATTTCCAGCTATCTCAGGGAGAGCTTTGCATTTGTGTGTACACAATTTTAGAATTATTGTTGTGGTTTAACCCTGGTGGGCAGCTCAGCCCCGTGCAGCCACTTGCTCACTCTCTCCCAGTGGGGTGGGGAGAGAATCAAAAGGCAAACGTGAAAACTCATGGGTTAAGATAAAGACCGTTTAAGAGAGAAAGCAAAAGCTGCATGTGCAAGCAAAGCAAAAGAAGGAATTAATTCACTGCTTCCCATCAGCAGGCAGGTGTTCAGCCATTTCCAGGAAAGCAGGACTTCATCACGCTTAACGGTGGCTTGGAAAGGCAAATGCTATAAAATCTCCTCCCTCCTCCCCCAGCCCATCGTGCCGAGCACGACGCCGTGCGGTGTGGGACGTCCCGGGGCTCAGCTGGGCCCCGCTGTCCCGGCCGTGTCCCCTCCAGCTCCCTGTGCCCCCCGGCTGCTCGCTGTGGGGTGGGTGAGGAGCACAACCGGCCTTGGCTGTGTGCAAGCGCTTCGCAGCAGGAACGGACACATCCCCTCCTTAGCAGCGCTGCTTTCAGCACAAATCCAAAATGCAGCACTGTAGGAGCTACTATACCAGCCAAAATGAGTACAATTATGTCGCAACACCGACTTTTTGTTTGTGTGGGAATACTGAAGAGCTGCTTGTATAGCGGGAAGAAACCTTTGTGCAAACAAGAACAACTTCTATTTGAAATGTCCTGTTAGAAATTAATTGTAGTACAGGAAAGTGTTATAGCCGAGCAAGCACATACTACAAATGCTGAAATATTTATAAAGGTCTGAAAAGCTGAAAGGTTAATTTGTATAAATTTTTGTCAGGTAAAAGTGTTTAATAAAGAGTTAGAAAATCACGTAGTCATCTGCTTTTGGTGGAGGTTGGGAAACAGGGCAGAAGCCTCATTCTCACATTTAGGAAGTAATGCTGTAACTTGTCTTAACAACCTTGTGAGCATACTTTTGTGCTTTCCAGACCTACTGTGGAGATAAAGTGGTCTCCGTAAAGATACGTAGGCTTCTGTTTTCAGAGTACCCATGAGCTGCTCTTTCAAAGGTACCAAAAATTATAACTGAGCAGCCACTTGTATCTTTCAGTGCTAAACATGACAATAAGTACTGCTGTCTGTGTGCCACCTTGTCTAAGAAGGTGGTGCAGAGCAGGAAGAAAGCAGGAGAAGCAGCGGGGGAAAAAGAAGGACAGAAGCAGGAGAAAGATGAGGAAGTAGGATGTGAGCATGTACTTCAGTACAGAGAATTAGTGACTGACAACACCAAATCAATCAAGTGTGTCTCCACTGAAAGGTGTGGACAGCACTGAATTAATCTGTCACAACAGAAAGGGGATTAATCTTTAAATAACACCTCTAGATCTTTCTTGGTGAAAATACTACCCAAAAAACTCCATTGTGAACTAAGAGTTGCATCTGAGAGCAAAGGGACATGTTGAAGCTGAAACAGATCAGAGTGTAATTTCCACCGCTCCATTTCCTGTTGAGACTATTCTCTTTGTTTAAAAAAGTATGTTACCAACCCTCCAGCATTCTGCCAAGATAGAGAGAAATAGGCAAGAAAGCAAGTATTTCCTACACTGTGGATTTTTTTAGCTGATTTATGATCATTCTTAATTTTATTTAAGCCATATGTTATTGAAAGTCAGCATTTTTCCTTTTTGTGTGTTGCTGTTTAATCACCAAGGATTGGAACTTCCGGGATTATTGGCAGATTTAACACATTACAAAATCCATACAAGTAGTGCTTATCCAATTACAATTAAAGATGGTTTTAGATTGAGACTCTTCTTACCTGCTTAATTTGGAGCAAAATTAGAACTGGAGTTTCTGATTGGTTCTATGTGCTTTAGACTGTTTGTAACGGATGATTCTCCTACTTTTAAAGTGGACTCAGTCACAGTTGCTTAGAAGCTCGTCAGATCTATAGCAGTTTGTAATGCTGTGCAGGCTTTCCCGTCCAATTGCAAAGTTTCAGTGCTGTCCTCCTCCTGAATGAGTAAACTTCAGTGAAATTACCTAGCGATACTGGTAAAAAATGGGCAGATCTTGCTAAAATTTTCTGGTGAACCCCAGTGGAAGACAGCATAGTCCTCCTCCAAGTTACCCCAAAGAGCTCTGCATGCTCTGCATGTTGTAATGCTGTAATACCCCATTCACAAGTTGGTGACTTGTAAAATAGCAGCAAAGTCTGTGCATCATGACAGAATTCGCATCCAGACCAAGTTTCCAAGTAACATATCTTAGTTACCAAGAAACACGTGTTTTTACAACATGATAGCTAATGCGCGCTACTCATCTCTCTGTAAGACCCAAATCTTACACTGTAAAACCCTAGCAAAAATGATGCACTTCGATGCTTTAACAGATTTGAGGTAAGTCCTAAGATCTCCCACAATCATAGCAGCTCTGCTCTGTGAACAAATAGGTCTATGTATATACTAGGATTTTATTGTGATAACCATATGAAATTAAAATATACTTTATGTGGTGGAAAAATGGAGGTAAAATCTCCGGGGTTATTTTGTAAGACACTTGACATTTTAAATATTTTGACATTCCTGGTAACTACAGAGCTGGAAAGATGAGCCCTTACAATGTCTGTTACGATTTTCTGATTTCCAGACTTAATCCTGGTGATTCTTGTAGGACTTGGTACTGGCAGAGGTAATGCCACTGAAGGATTGTTATGGTGACTTGTGTCAGGCTTGTATGCCAGCTCAGTGGAGTAGAAGAGCAGAAATAACTTGGCACAGGACTTAAGAATGAAAAAAAAAAAATTGAGAATGGGCTGAAAAAAACACGTTTAGAACGGAACATGATAATTTGGAAATGTTCATATCCACTGAATAGAGAGGGGAAAGCCATAAAACTGTTACTGTTGTGTTTCATCTTTAATGCAGTATTTCTCAAGTGGCTGGCTGGACTGCAGTCATGAAACATCACTTAGTTTATAGAAATGAAGAGTTGAACGTTTAAAGATGTGAACATAGCCTGTCGGATACTCTCAAATTTTGTACATCCGTATGTGGTTAAGTTTGAGAGCTACTGAACTGTAGAAGAAATGCGTATAACCATATCATTTAGGTTAAAAGTATATTGTTGCATTCAGTAGATAGAGGAATCAAACATCTGCCATCAAGAAAACTTAAAATACGAGCCCAGTTCTGGTCTTTAGCTGCTTGTTCAGGAAACAGTATAACGGTGATACTTTTTAGAACTTCTGCAGTTATTTTTATTAACACTTTTTTAAAAGTAGTGCTGAGATGAAGGAAACTTACTAAATTCCAGTGTAAGAATGGTGATGTAGTTTACTGATATGCTGTTATTTTCAGTGCTTCTGATTCCCATTAATATATTTGAATTTTACCAGACGGTGAACATGGATTCAGATACTTCCAGATGGCTTCTTGTGGTCAAGATAATCAGATCAAACTCTGGCTTATTTTGTTTGCAGACTTCTTAGGTGTGTATAGTGATGTTTTTTTTCATATTCCAATGTGTTAAGTCTTTAGTGACAATTTACATTTAAGATCAAATTTATACTGCCGTCATGGATTCAAAGCCAAACTAACCACAAATTGAAAGTTTTCTTTTAATTGTTTAGCAGGAGAGCAGCTAAGGCATGCAGCACATTGTGACATTAGGCCCTGTAGGTTTTATTTAGTGATCTATTTATCAATAATTGTAAACATAAGCATAAAAAACATAAAAAAACCTCCCAATTCCCTCAAACTTAATGTTATGATAAACATTTGGTTTTAATTAGCATTTTTATCTTTTGGTAACCAGTAATATTTCTACTGTGGCCTTTGAGCAGTTTGATAGGTTGAAACCTCTTAATCTACCGGGCTATGGAGAGGTATCCTTTCAGTACATCTTGACCCTTGAGCAAGGGCTGGAGAAATGAAAATTTTTTTTTGCTGAAACTGTAATGTAGATGTGTGACTGCTATGTAGAGACTAGGCAGATGGCCGAAAACCTCTTCAGTGGGTATTTTTTTGTAATCTCTTTTATATAGAAATCTGTAAGGATGAATGTTTTGTGTACAGATACACATTGAATTATCTAAAACATTAGACATGCTAAGACTACAAAGTGAGGAAGCCAGAGAAGTTAAAATTAAGTTGCCTCTGTGATCTTTTATCCCCTTTTTTGTAGACAGTGTGTTACAGATGTTACAGTGTGTCAGATCTTGGGTGCAGCTTTACCCTTCTAAAAGCAGCTTGTCTTATACCTTGTCAAATGTGTCCATATATAATAATCTACTTTTTGTATTTTTAGGTGTTGAATTAAAATATAAATGCACATTGAATGGACATTCTGCCCCGGTTCTGGCTTGTGCGTTTTCTTATGATGGGCAGATGTTAGTTTCAGGGTAAGCAGTATCTTTTACTTGTTTAAATTTCATGCAGGTGGCTCTCCAGGGTCATGCTTCAGTGTTACAAAACAAAGTTCAAAAGAGTTGGAGATTTCAAAGTACATTTCCAATAATTAAGGAATAGTTCTGTGACCTCCAGAACTATTGAAGTGTCTTTCCAATTGGTCTGTCTTGTGGGTGATTTGAATTTGAAATCTGGGATGTTACAAGCCGTGTTCTCTTGAGTATTGTAATGAGATTCATGATTTCCTGGTTTTGGTGCACTTATGTGGCCTTTCATCTGGGTACTCTAGCATCTATTAAAACTACAAATCTACACTGCAACCTTGCCGTCTCTTTGGGACACCATTTAGGATTTCCTTCTCACTCACACACTTCAGGAACTTTTTTAGAAAGTTAAATATCTTGAGATTTTTGTCTCTGATAGACTTGTTTGGGATTAAAAATTTCTTCACTGATTCACACCCAGAGTATGGCAACATAAGCCTTTCTTCTGTAAAAAGTGCTTGATTGAGATAACTGTAGACCTGTGTTTTTGATGTCAGTCCTGTACAGAATAATGGTTAAGACCCAAAATTAGTCATGAACCATCAGTTACAGACCAATATTATTATTAGTCTTTGTTAGAGGGTGATAAGGGAGTTGCCAGTGGTGTTGCAAGGTCACTCTTATGTTTGAAAGACCCAGGAGGGTGGAGGTGATGACATTTTAATGTCAATGTGTTTTTGTTTTTTTTAAAAGGTCTGTGGACAAGTGTGTCATAATACATGAAACTGTAAGTATAGCATAATGCAAGATCATTCCTTGGATTGTTGTCTTTAAATATCAGCACTGCTTCTGCAGTGTCCTATCAATGTAAAGAAATATTAAAGAATAAGAACTGTATAATCCCAAAATATTTACTATGCATTTGGGGGGGGGAGTGAGGAGTTAGAGGAAAAATGTCTCTTGAGAATTGATCAGTCTTTCTCACTTTTTATTTACATTTCTTTGAGGGGTTTGTCACTTGATTTCTCTGCAGTGGAGTACTATTCAATGAATTCCATACTTACATGTTATGTTCATATTGAAGTAGAAGGATTTTTTGTTATCCTAAAATTATCTTAGCTTCCAAAGCAAGAGAGACTGTAGCTTTTGACATAAAATCAGGAATGGTGATCATAGAAATTCTTTAGTTAATTATATAGAAAGTGCACATAAAATAGAAGTGTAATAAAGAGTTCAAGAAAATTTCGATGTTAAATACAGTGTCTTTTCTTTAAAACATATTGTTTAGGCATTTTCTATAATAGTGTTATTACATCCTTCATAGTCCACCTGTAAGTGGTATTTACCTTTAGTACTTTATAGTATTAAAAATAATAATAATTTTGCTGAAATGAAGGGTGAACAAATTCTAAGCTTCTCCAGCTTGCTCTGCACATACTATTGTATTGATACATTTTTTTAATTAGGGTTAAAGTTTTTCACCAAAATCACTAATTTGATACCTTCCCAATTTTTGGCCCAATTATTTTAGTAGTTTAATGCTTAGACAGGTACGTCAGCAGTCCCCTCGATTTTTGGAACCCCAGAAAATGGAAGGATGCAGAAAACCACACCATAAGTATTTCTTAATACTATTTGTTAGCTTTTGTGGCCTTAGGTTTTTACTAAATGGGACAATAACTTTTATAGCTGTTGAGGAGAAGTGGAGACAATAAACCTTCGTGGGAGGGAGAGAGATTTCAACCTAAAATAGAGCACTTTCCTCATGATGGACAGCTGAAAAAAATGGAGTGCTGACCAATCAATTAGTGATTCAGAATAACTTTGCTCTTCATCTTTCCAATCTGTCTGTACCTGTCAAATGGTATCTTTCATAAGAAGGAAGATCCTTCAGATCATAAATTAAAATGGTGCAGAAATTCAGGAATTTGTTTTTTAGTAGCATCTAGTGGCCAAATAGGAGAACCACAGGTGTGATTAATTATTGGCCCAATTCAAGGATTGTAGCATGAAGTCTATTTGAATTTCAGTTACCTCTTCACTTTTAGTCATTTTTAATCCTAGATTTATAGAAGAAATGTTTTTATGCACATGAGCAACCAGCCAATATGGATGTAATTAATTCAGTTGGTATTTCTGGCATTGTTATGCCGAAAGTTCCATGCTGGCTGATTCTTGAAGGATAGCAGTGTTCTGGTGAATTGAGTAGGGGGCTTCAAGCAGGAAAGTCAAGTTGCATTTCTGACTCTGCTGCTGATCAGCTTTGGCAAGGTTGTATAACTTTTCTGAAGGTAACTTCTGTCATCTTCCAAGAAGCAATATTATTCCTTATTTTGAATGACCATTCTTTTTATTCTTTAAGATTTAAAATCACAAATATTCTTTTACAGAGTACTGGCAATACGCTTCATACTTTGTCTCAGCATACCAGGTAAGAATTCAGTATGATTTTTCTGTTTTACTGTTAATAAATAAAAGAAATTAAATCCTTTCCTTGTGAATTTTCACACCTTTTTTTTTTTTTTTAGATATGTTACAACTTGTGCTTTTGCACCACATAGTCCTTTACTTGCCACAGGTTCAATGGATAAAACTGTGAACATATGGCAGTTTGACCTTCAGCAACCCTGTGCAGGTTAGTGTGTGAAATATTTGTAATCTGTTCTTTAAAGCACAATATTGTTGAACACCTTCTGAAGATGGAGTTAATTTGTAACCTGAGGATTATGTGCACATTATTTCTTTTCTCAGAATTGATATTACTAATGTCCTACAGAGGTATTATCTTTTTGTTTTTTAAAGAAAATGTATACTAGAAGTATTTTAATTCTGTTAATCTGCTATATCTTCTTTTCTGATATTTGCTATTTCTTACTCTCTGGACAGCATTTAAGAGATGAATATTATTCCCAGAGCACTGAAAGACTTTTTGGACAAGTATCATTGGTGATGAGTTAAACAGAAAATATGCTAATTGCAGGCATAATTGTCAACAAGAAATACAGCTTACCAGTTGTTATAGGTGAAAAAACCAGGGTAATTAATGTTACAAAATATATCAGCACCTAAAGTATGTGGAACAAAGGTACATAGATCTTTGTTCAAAGCACAAGAGTAAGTCTGGACTTTGGTCTGCTTTTCTAAGGATGTGTGAGACTTGGTTTCAGTGTCTGCTGACACCTTTCTGTCTTTTCGTTCAATTCAAATTTGATAAGCGTGGGCATCTGAGAGATTAAATTCCTCAAAACTTTGAAAACTGATAGATAAAAGACAAACCCAAATTATTGCCCCCCACTGAAGTAATGTCTAATAAGCATTTCTTTTATTAGACATTGGGGAATGTATAGTACTGAGAACAGTTGAAAAACAGCATTCATGACTGCCGTTGTTCTTAGAGCTGGGGTTTTTTTTCATTGTTGGGTTTTTGGGCGGCAGGTGGGTGTTGTTTGTTTGTCTGTTGGTTTTAATTGTCTTTTATCTTTCCTTTCCAAAGGAAATACTGTAGAAAATGAATCAAAGGTGGCTGTTGAGGACTGGTCAGAGGATGATGTTTCAGCCTGGCTTTATGCACAAGACTTAGCAGACTTTGTTGGGCTTTTCAAAGTGAATAACATTGATGGCAAAGAACTGCTGAATCTTACTAAAGAAAGTCTGACTAATGAATTAAAAATTGGTAAGAGTATAGAAATCCAAATAGTTCTTAATCTTTAGAGTATGTGTGAAATGTTGGAATGAAATTGAGTTAGGCGTTCCATACATGGATGTTTTTTTTTCCCTGAAATGCATTTTTATTTTGTTACCAGGGCTGATAAAAACCCCTAATATCACAACATTCACAGTACTCTTCTGGAGTTTTTCTTGTGTTTTCTTATACCTAGATGCACTTCCACCAACAATGCTGTGTTAAGTGGTCTTACCTGCTTTTGTTTCTATTTTCCTTTTTAGATCTTGTACCATTAAGCTGTGGAAGAGGAGTTTTAGATTCTGTGTATACTTAATGTTTCTGACTTTGGTTAATAGGGTACTCTCTGGTGTTTCCTATCAGTCTGCAAAAGTGCCATGTTTATAATACTATGCGGTCAACTACCTTGAATTTAGCAGTGACATTCTTCAGTGCACTGTTACCATAATAGAAAAACACAAGGTATGTTTTAGTTTTTAGTTGTTTTGGAGGTGAAGCATTTGATGTTGACATTTAGTAAGGGTCAAGCAAAGCTTGCCTGCCTCAGACACTTTATAATTCATCAGGTGTCCTAGTTAATACGTTGTCCTGTCACTTTATTGCAAAACTGTGATTACATTTTAGAAGGAATCACAAGGAAGTACCATATTAGTAATGATTCCACAGTGGTAATTCTGAAACAAGAAATTTAAGGATGATGAACTACACTGGAACTTTCTGAATATAAGCTCTATTCATTTTGATGGTTAGATTTAGGTGTTAATTACATGCTGGTATGTTTGCCAAGGTGAGATCAAGTATAGCAAAAGGCTGAATGAGTTAAGAAACCTTTTAAAAAGTACGGTTTCATTTTTAGAAGTTAGTATTCATTGTAGGAACACTGCTCCCTTCCTTTTGTGTGTGTGTGTCTGTGGTATTGGTCTGTATCAGATCATAGCATCTCTGTGTGTCAACTAGCTTTGTTGAATTCTAGAAATCAACAGAGATGTTGGGAATCTGTCAGGAATTCTCATCCACAAAAGGCACTTGGCTTCACCAGTTTCTGCAGACATTTTCTTTAACATTGGTGTAGCCTAAAACTGTTGCAGCAATCAGCAGCTGAGGCTAATCAAATAATGCTGACTAGAAAGTTATGTGAGAATTGAATGCAGTGTGACTAATGATGAGGACTGACATGCTGAAAATAGTGTTCTCTGTGGGGAAAAAGAATCAACAGAAGCATGTGTTGCCTGATAGATTTGTAATGATGCTATCGAGAACAATTTCAAACTCATGTTGCCTGATAGATTTGTAATGATGCTATCGAGAACAATTTCAAACTCAAATAAGAAAATAAAATCTGAGTTGTGAGAGCCCATTGTAAGGCAGGCTGTAAGTTGCAAAGGATGCATGTGGCTTCAGACAGAGCACATGTAGAATACAGGCTGATTATGGGAAGCTGTTGCTTTCTGGCTCTTTCATTTGCTGTAAAAGGATGCAGTGAGGATTGATTGTACATATGAGCTGAAGTAGCTCCAGTAGGTACTTTAACACCCATCATAATATTATGGGACAAGGAGTGAGATTTTCACAGGTATCAGGCAGCTATAAGAAATTTGAAAAAAAAATCTAACTGAAATTTCTCATTGTCTTAATAAACATAAGCTACTCCACAAATATGAACCAGCATATATGCAATGTGAAGCAATGAGTTCCACTGTAATGGTTATATGAAAGACGTTTTTAAAAGAGAAAAAATGAAAAACACTTCTCAAAGTCACCAAATAAAATCATTCCAATTAATCAGTTCTGAAGTGGTAAATGCTTCTGATCCTGCTTCTACATACCATTCTGCAACTGTAATTGGCACAGAACAGAAATTACGGCCTTAAATATTTGACTTGAAGAAATGCTTTCTATCTGCCATGGCTCAAGCATTTACAAAATAGGAAAATACTGTCTGCCTGAAACTTAAATGCTTTTCAGTGTTACTCAAATTCTAGTTTAACTAAATTTTAGGAGTCTATCACTATACAAATACTTGAATGAGCACATTCTTTCTCTCCTTGATAACCTGTTTCCTTTGCTCTAAAAAAGCAACATTTACCACTTCCGTAAGATCTTACCAAAGAACTCTTGAGTTTTTTTACAGTCTTTGCAAAGGGACTTTTTTTTAGACCATTTTACTTGATGATTGATAGTATAGGAGCTTTTTCTTCTATTATTTTTTTATTGGCTGCTTATTTCTTGTCCTGTTAGTCTTTGCTTCAGCTCTGATTTGTATTTAATAAAAAGGGTATCCTCATGCCTTTGAAGGTGTTTAATCTAAGAGAAGGTGATCAGCAAGTGGTTCACATAACATTTTGTTAGCTTCTTTGGTTGTTTCTGACAGCTTTTTGAAAAGTATGCTTCATTACCATGCAAATGGAACTGGCCTCTTTCCAACCTAATTGTCATATAATATAAGTAACACTGTATTAAACTCGGTAAGATGTTGAGCAAAAGTAAAGTGACCATTATACACATTCTGGCTGTAAAACTTGTGTACATTCAGCAAAGTTCAGGATTTCTAATTCTTAATAGACACAATGACACATTCATTGCAATTCTGTGAAGCAGTTGAGTCAGAAAAAAAGGAATACGCGTCCTCTTCCAATTCAGAATACAAGGTGGGGGGTACATTGTTCCATGCCTGCATACTCTTTTTCCTATCAGGCTAACTGAATGTGTTAATGTAAGGTGAATCTTGACTTCAGGTTGTTTGCAGAGGGTGGGCAGGAGGTGAGACTCGGTCTAATTTTTGGAAAACCACACCTTCAGTTTAGGGGTTAGCATCATACAAAGAATTTTGTACTTAAATACCACACAAACTGTATAGAAGTTGGAGGCATTCCAAATACTTTCCTTTCTTCTGCAGCACATTGAGAAGGCTTCTTTTCATGGGAGACTATCCTGATTTAGGTTAGGTATGTAAAGGGAACAGATGTCTTAAAGGCAGTTCAACCCTTTCCTAACTTACTGCAGGGTGTCTTTAGCACATAACTTAAACCAAGGATGAATACACATAAACTGAGTTTTGAAATCTCTGATCAGGCTGACTTTGTCTTCCCTTCATCAGCAATGTGCTCTCAAAGATGCGGGGTTTTTGTCTTCCTCTTGGTTTTAAGGTTTCGCTCTAGGTAGGTACATACAAAAAGTATGAGTAAGTGCTTTCCTGTTTCACATCTTTATCAAGAAACTTGAGAATGAGCTTGAAAACAACATTTTGGAGCAGATTTGAATCATTTGTGATTCACCATGCCTTACACATATACTGAAATAGGAGTAAACATTGGGGGAATTGCTCAGTATAGATTAAACAGAAAATTGCATGTGCTTTGCCTGTACCAACAAGATCTTATTTTAAGTGTTCTTTTATAACTAGTTTTCAAAAGATGATGTGTCGTGGATAGTTCTTTAATCCCTGACTAGAGATTTAATCAGGAGGTAGTTAATTGAGGTGCAGACTGGATGCAATGTCTTTAATCTGTTTGGATGAGAGGACTTTAGGAAAAATTGCCCATATGGTGAAGATTGTAGAAGATGCCCTCAAAATCCAGTTATAAGTACAGAATTATTTGGTTCCTTTTTTACCTTTCTTTCCTTTGGTTATATTCTTACTTTTTCTTGATCCCAGACTGATCTTGTAGATTTTTACAAAATTGCCATGCAAACTCTTCCTAAGAATAAGCATGAACTTTTATTGTATTTCAGTACTGTATTTAAATTCTTACATCGTCTTTATCTTTACATATGTAATTACATAATCCTTATTAAGGAAACCTAGGTTGATTTTTTTCTTTTGCATATATTTTTCTTACTCTGTGACATCTTTTGTCTTTGCTGACTAAAATGACTTGCCTATCAGTGTGACTGAGTTTTATCCCTTTGCATACATTGTTTGAGGCAGCTGATTAATTGTACAGTAAAGCTGGAAGCACTGGTGTGTTTAGGCCAGCCTGCTTGGCAGTCTTCAGATGGAGTAGGGCAGTTGGTTGGAAGACTGTTGTATCAACTCTTTATTTTAGTACTGAAGATGGAAAGTTAAGCAGAGTAGGAACTAGTTATTTACCGCTACTAGATTGGAAGAAAAAATTGTGACACATTACACCCACAGGCTTTTTGACATAAAACAATGTTCGAAAGGAGGAATGTTTTATGCTGTTGCAAGATGAAGATGACTGATATCTGGGATGCATTTCCAATCTTGACAGGTTAAAACTGTAGTGTGACAGTTTATAGAACTATAAAATTACTTTTCTCATTGTCAGAGCTTTTTCCCTCTTGTACTCAGAATTAAGTTGGAAAGAATGGCTGCTGTCTCAAACACAGATACGGCTCTTTTTTTCAGATTCACAGCTATTGTATATTCTCAGTAAACTGGTAATACTAATTACTCAAATCAATTTTGGGATACTTAAATAAACTTGTGGTCCTTCATGGGGGAATGTGTGTTAATTGGTATTTGTGATGCATTATGTGATCATGAAAAAGAGTTTATACCACAATAAGTACATTGTAGAGAGAAGAGCTTGCAAGTCCCACAAATCTCAGATCAGAGTATTCCTCCTTTAAAAAAAAAACCAACCCAAAACTAATGCAATTTTCATAGACAATACCGGCACTCAGGCTTCACAGGTCATTTTTATGCAAAAGAGATTGATTATATTTAATTGAACTGAAATTAATGAATTGAATCTTTACTAAACCCAAAGATTCTTACTGCTCACAATGACGGGCCCCTCTTCCCCTAGCCAACCCCACCATTGGATTTTTTTTTTAAGGGACTTGGTTTTCTGCCAAGAACCAGCTCTACTACCTTCACTTACAATAGTACACATTACTATAGGTAATTTGAGAACATTTGCAATAATAGATTCATATACCATCAAATTTAAAAATACCAATTGTGACCACTAAGTATATGTTAGACTGGAGCTGTATGTCAGTATAAAAGGCAACGATGATGAGGCTGCTGGGCATTTTAGTCATGTTTTTGAAAACAGTTTCTTCTGAAATGTCGTTCTCCCCCCCAACATACAAGATGGTGTTCAGTTTAGGTCAGAAGTTGCATCTGTTTTTTCAGCATGAGTTTCCTCTTGGATACAGCTCTTTTGGTGTTGTCGTCTGTGTCGTGTCCTCCCCCCCCCAATCAAACATGCATTATTTTTGTTTACGTGGAATGAGTGCGTGGTCTTTTCACTGCTTCTGCTTGGGCTGTCTTGTTTGATAGTGAAACTATAAATGCAGGTCATTGAATATAGCACTTTAAATAGCATAATTGAAGCACTGATATCTCAGTGCAGCTCAGGTGCTTTGGTGGTAGGTAGTCTTCTGTTTGGAGGTGATGATGGCACTCGTGCGCTCTTATACCTTCATACTGTTATTTATATAGTCCAGTGTCAAGGGAGAAAGACTGCTGTCTTCCACTCTGTTTCAGTTGTATCTACAGTTAGCTTTGCACATGCAGCAGTGCATGTGATTCTATTATGCATCAACTAAAATGCGGTTCTGTCGGATAGCCATGTCTTTCCAGCAGTGTTGCGCTTGTATTTGTTTTACTGTTTGTTTTCATTCCTCCACAAAGTTATTGTTAACCAACAGGAGTGACATGCTGTAGCTGAGCTGTTTGTAGTGGTGGCCAGGGGTATTTGCAGATTTTTCTGTATTAGGTGGTGAGATGGAGCTGTGTCTTCTGTAACGCAACTGCTAATTTATGCAAGACCTAACCTCTTTACCTTACGATTGTGTTGTCCGCTTCATGTATGAATAACTTTTCAGAGTCTCTAGGCCTGCGCAGTAAAGTCCTCCAGAAAATTGAAGAACTGAGGATGAAAACGATCTCTGTTACTATCCCTGATGAGTTCTTATGTCCTATAACAAGGGAGCTTATGAAGGATCCTGTCATTGCAGCAGGTATGTCGTTAAATGACGTTGACTAAAATGAATGACTTAAGGGTAAAGATAGGTGTGGAAACACAAAAATGGGGATATCTTATCAGTTGTAGAAAGATAAACTAATTCTAAATAGCTGTTGCAAAATAGAACTGTGGTAGATGTTTAATTTGCCAAACTACATCTCTGATACGGAAAAAAATACTGTATCAAGCAATTTGCTTAGTGTCAGCTCTGCTGATGAGGCTGTATAGATATTTTTTGTTTGTTTGTTTTAATGTTCCTTCCTTTATGTGCCTTTGCAAATATAATTACCAGCCTATTACAGACTTGTCTTGGTAAGTGCAAAATGGAATTGTGCACACGGGGTGGGGGGAGGGGGGGCAGGCGACAAAAACCAGGCTCATTACTACTCTTAGCACACCATGTATATGACACGTAAAAGTTTGTACAGCATGAGATTCATTTAAATTCAACAAGACTTTGGAACCGAGATACGCAAGGACCAGAAGATGATGTGTAGTTAAAACATTCTGTGAAGAACTAGTGTTTTATAGTTCTAATCTTGGGGGTGGGGGGCATATGATCATCAAAAAACCACTATATTATTTGGATGCTCTGTAAACAGTGACTAACTTCATAGAGTTTTGAGGTATCAAGACAGACTTCTGATAATTAAAACGTTCAGAATATGAAAACGTTTGCTAACTGCTAGAGTGGTAAGCACTGCACTTAACAGGGCTTGAGCTTCTAAACACGAGCAGTAGGAGGACAGCCTTGCATATCCTTTTTTTATATGTTTGAAATAAGGATACATAGTTTTAGAGCAGGATATTTTTGTTGAAAAGCTGAAAATTACTGCCAATCGCTATTCACATGTATATTACACAATCAGATAGGCATTTTTAAGAGAACCTGTCGACCTTTTAAAATAAAATGTTCACACTGTGTGTGATGAATTATAGTATTTACTATCTAATAAATATTGCCCCTGTGTCATTCAGTATTTGTGTATTACACTGCTGTCCTGAAACATGGGATTCCTCTGCTTTTCAGAACACAGGGTGAGCATATCTGGGAGTTCCTCACACTGCTTTATTTTTATAGAAGTTGATGAATAATAACAGAAACGTTAGTGATTGCAGCAGGAGAAAGGTTGGTTTGTGGCAAGACAGGTGAAGGAAAGTATAGTTTTGTATTTGGAACCTTCTGTATGCACTAGCTAGCGACTTCACTGCCCAGCACTATGGCACTGAAGTTCCTGTAGTGTGAACACAGCTGTCTTTAAGATGTGGGTACTTTGCAGATTCAAATTGGAGGAACTGAGATATTTCTGAGATTAGAAAGTAACTAACTGAAGTGAGCTGGATAATTTGTTTAGTTCAGTAAGGTAAGTAAGAATTAAGTAAAACTTTTATGCCTCTGTGCTATGTAGAATTTAAGGAAAAATAAAAAGAAGGTAGAATGCCAAACGGCGTATTTCTTTTACTCAAGTAACCAGCCCAAATAAGATGCCCCCCGCCCCCATGTTAAGTGGCTCACGTTCACTGCCGGGGAAGGAAGTAGAGTGTAGCTCCGTTGGAGGAGGGGTGGAGGACACGAGTTTGTGTTTCAGCAGCCAGAGGTGTTCCTGGGTGAGTGGGCAGGGTGTGGTTTATTCCTCTAGGTCTTTAAGAGCGAGCTTGTTTCAGCACTGACGGGAAGAGCTGAAGCCCTGAAAGGAGCCGGGTGTGGAGGGCAAAGTGTGTGCCCAGCTCCGGGCTTGGTCG